GCAGGTCAATTAGTCCATCCTGTGTAATGTATATATTGCTATGTTGGCAGGTCAATTAGTCCATCCTGTGTGGCAGGTCAATTAGTCCATCCTGTGTAACGTATATATTGCTATGTTGGCAGGTCAATTAGTCCATCCTGTGTAATGTATATATTGCTATGTTGGCAGGTCAATTAGTCCATCCTGTGTAATGTATATATTGCTATGTTGGCAGGTCAATTAGTCCATCCTGTGTAATGTATATATTGCTATGTTGGCAGGTCAATTAGTCCATCCTGTGTAATGTATATATTGCTATGTTGGCAGGTCAATTAGTCCATCCTGTGTAATGTATATATTGCTATGTTGGCAGGTCAATTAGTCCATCCTGTGTAACGTATATATTGCTATGTTGGCAGGTCAATTAGTCCATCCTGTGTAATGTATATATTGCTATGTTGGCAGGTCAATTAGTCCATCCTGTGTAATGTATATATTGCTATGTTGGCAGGTCAATTAGTCCATCCTGTGTAATGTATATATTGCTATGTTGGCAGGTCAATTAGTCCATCCTGTGTAATGTATATATTGCTATGTTGGCAGGTCAATTAGTCCATCCTGTGTAATGTATATATTGCTATGTTGGCAGGTCAATTAGTCCATCCTGTGTAATGTATATATTGCTATGTTGGCAGGTCAATTAGTCCATCCTGTGTAATGTATATATTGCTATGTTGGCAGGTCAATTAGTCCATCCTGTGTAATGAATATATTGCTATGTTGGCAGGTCAATTAGTCCATCCTGTGTAATGTATATATTGCTATGTTGGCAGGTCAATTAGTCCATCCTGTGTAACGTATATATTGCTATGTTGGCAGGTCAATTAGTCCATCCTGTGTGGCAGGTCAATTAGTCCATCCTGTGTAATGTATATATTGCTATGTTGGCAGGTCAATTAGTCCATCCTGTGTAACGTATATATTGCTATGTTGGCAGGTCAATTAGTCCATCCTGTGTAATGTATATATTGCTATGTTGGCAGGTCAATTAGTCCATCCTGTGTAATGTATATATTGCTATGTTGGCAGGTCAATTAGTCCATCCTGTGTAACGTATATATTGCTATGTTGGCAGGTCAATTAGTCCATCCTGTGTAATGTATATATTGCTATGTTGGCAGGTCAATTAGTCCATCCTGTGTAACGTATATATTGCTATGTTGGCAGGTCAATTAGTCCATCCTGTGTAATGTATATATTGCTATGTTGGCAGGTCAATTAGTCCATCCTGTGTGGCAGGTCAATTAGTCCATCCTGTGTAATGTATATATTGCTATGTTGGCAGGTCAATTAGTCCATCCTGTGTAACGTATATATTGCTATGTTGGCAGGTCAATTAGTCCATCCTGTGTGGCAGGTCAATTAGTCCATCCTGTGTAACGTATATATTGCTATGTTGGCAGGTCAATTAGTCCATCCTGTGTAACGTATATATTGCTATGTTGGCAGGTCAATCAGTCCATCCTGTGTAATGTATATATTGCTATGTTGGCAGGTCAATTAGTCCATCCTGTGTGGCAGGTCAATTAGTCCATCCTGTGTAACGTATATATTGCTATGTTGGCAGGTCAATCAGTCCATCCTGTGTAATGTATATATTGCTATGTTGGCAGGTCAATTAGTCCATCCTGTGTGGCAGCTCAATTAGTCCATCCTGTGTAACGTATATATTGCTATGTTGGCAGGTCAATTAGTCCATCCTGTGTAACGTATATATTGCTATGTTGGCAGGTCAATTAGTCCATCCTGTGTGGCAGGTCAATTAGTCCATCCTGTGTAATGTATATATTGCTATGTTGGCAGGTCAATTAGTCCATCCTGTGTGGCAGGTCAATTAGTCCATCCTGTGTAACGTATATATTGCTATGTTGGCAGGTCAATTAGTCCATCCTGTGTGGCAGGTCAATTAGTCCATCCTGTGTAATGTATATATTGCTATGTTGGCAGGTCAATTAGTCCATCCTGTGTAACGTATATATTGCTATGTTGGCAGGTCAATTAGTCCATCCTGTGTAATGTATATATTGCTATGTTGGCAGGTCAATCAGTCCATCCTGTGTAATGTATATATTGCTATGTTGGCAGGTCAATTAGTCCATCCTGTGTAACGTATATATTGCTATGTTGGCAGGTCAATTAGTCCATCCTGTGTAACGTATATATTGCTATGTTGGCAGGTCAATTAGTCCATCCTGTGTAATGTATATATTGCTATGTTGGCAGGTCAATTAGTCCATCCTGTGTAATGTATATATTGCTATGTTGGCAGGTCAATTAGTCCATCCTGTGTAATGTATATATTGCTATGTTGGCAGGTCAATTAGTCCATCCTGTGTAACGTATATATTGCTATGTTGGCAGGTCAATTAGTCCATCCTGTGTAATGTATATATTGCTATGTTGGCAGGTCAATTAGTCCATCCTGTGTAATGTATATATTGCTATGTTGGCAGGTCAATTAGTCCATCCTGTGTAACGTATATATTGCTATGTTGGCAGGTCAATTAGTCCATCCTGTGTGGCAGGTCAATTAGTCCATCCTGTGTAATGTATATATTGCTATGTTGGCAGGTCAATTAGTCCATCCTGTGTGGCAGGTCAATTAGTCCATCCTGTGTAATGTATATATTGCTATGTTGGCAGGTCAATTAGTCCATCCTGTGTAATGTATATATTGCTATGTTGGCAGGTCAATTAGTCCATCCTGTGTAACGTATATATTGCTATGTTGGCAGGTCAATTAGTCCATCCTGTGTAATGTATATATTGCTATGTTGGCAGGTCAATTAGTCCATCCTGTGTAATGTATATATTGCTATGTTGGCAGGTCAATTAGTCCATCCTGTGTAACGTATATATTGCTATGTTGGCAGGTCAATTAGTCCATCCTGTGTGGCAGGTCAATTAGTCCATCCTGTGTAATGTATATATTGCTATGTTGGCAGGTCAATTAGTCCATCCTGTGTGGCAGGTCAATTAGTCCATCCTGTGTAATGTATATATTGCTATGTTGGCAGGTCAATTAGTCCATCCTGTGTAATGTATATATTGCTATGTTGGCAGGTCAATTAGTCCATCCTGTGTAATGTATATATTGCTATGTTGGCAGGTCAATTAGTCCATCCTGTGTAATGTATATATTGCTATGTTGGCAGGTCAATTAGTCCATCCTGTGTAATGTATATATTGCTATGTTGGCAGGTCAATTAGTCCATCCTGTGTGGCAGGTCAATTAGTCCATCCTGTGTGGCAGGTCAATTAGTCCATCCTGTGTAATGAATATATTGCTATGTTGGCAGGTCAATTAGTCCATCCTGTGTAATGTATATATTGCTATGTTGGCAGGTCAATTAGTCCATCCTGTGTAATGTATATATTGCTATGTTGGCAGGTCAATTAGTCCATCCTGTGTAATGTATATATTGCTATGTTGGCAGGTCAATTAGTCCATCCTGTGTGGCAGGTCAATTAGTCCATCCTGTGTAACGTATATATTGCTATGTTGGCAGGTCAATTAGTCCATCCTGTGTAATGTATATATTGCTATGTTGGCAGGTCAATTAGTCCATCCTGTGTAATGTATATATTGCTATGTTGGCAGGTCAATTAGTCCATCCTGTGTAACGTATATATTGCTATGTTGGCAGGTCAATTAGTCCATCCTGTGTAACGTATATATTGCTATGTTGGCAGGTCAATTAGTCCATCCTGTGTAATGTATATATTGCTATGTTGGCAGGTCAATTAGTCCATCCTGTGTAACGTATATATTGCTATGTTGGCAGGTCAATTAGTCCATCCTGTGTAATGTATATATTGCTATGTTGGCAGGTCAATTAGTCCATCCTGTGTAATGTATATATTGCTATGTTGGCAGGTCAATTAGTCCATCCTGTGTAATGTATATATTGCTATGTTGGCAGGTCAATTAGTCCATCCTGTGTAATGTATATATTGCTATGTTGGCAGGTCAATTAGTCCATCCTGTGTAATGTATATATTGCTATGTTGGCAGGTCAATTAGTCCATCCTGTGTGGCAGGTCAATTAGTCCATCCTGTGTAACGTATATATTGCTATGTTGGCAGGTCAATTAGTCCATCCTGTGTAATGTATATATTGCTATGTTGGCAGGTCAATTAGTCCATCCTGTGTAATGTATATATTGCTATGTTGGCAGGTCAATTAGTCCATCCTGTGTAACGTATATATTGCTATGTTGGCAGGTCAATTAGTCCATCCTGTGTAACGTATATATTGCTATGTTGGCAGGTCAATTAGTCCATCCTGTGTAATGTATATATTGCTATGTTGGCAGGTCAATTAGTCCATCCTGTGTAACGTATATATTGCTATGTTGGCAGGTCAATTAGTCCATCCTGTGTAACGTATATATTGCTATGTTGGCAGGTCAATTAGTCCATCCTGTGTAATGTATATATTGCTATGTTTGCAGGTCAATTAGTCCATCCTGTGTAATGTATATATTGCTATGTTGGCAGGTCAATTAGTCCATCCTGTGTAATGTATATATTGCTATGTTGGCAGGTCAATTAGTCCATCCTGTGTAATGTATATATTGCTATGTTGGCAGGTCAATTAGTCCATCCTGTGTAACGTATATATTGCTATGTTGGCAGGTCAATTAGTCCATCCTGTGTAATGTATATATTGCTATGTTGGCAGGTCAATTAGTCCATCCTGTGTAACGTATATATTGCTATGTTGGCAGGTCAATTAGTCCATCCTGTGTAATGTATATATTGCTATGTTGGCAGGTCAATTAGTCCATCCTGTGTAACGTATATATTGCTATGTTGGCAGGTCAATTAGTCCATCCTGTGTAACGTATATATTGCTATGTTGGCAGGTCAATTAGTCCATCCTGTGTAATGTATATATTGCTATGTTGGCAGGTTAATTAGTCCATCCTGTGTAACGTATATATTGCTATGTTGGCAGGTCAATTAGTCCATCCAGGTGTCACATTTGAGAGTATTGGGGGAAACACACACATCTTGAAGGTTTGTTCTGGACTTTTTTTCAAATCAATCCTTCATTAAAACTATTTTCATTCAGTTCAATTGTTGACAGATAACCAGCGCACCATTGCTGTTGTCTCAGATGAAAGGCTGATGCAATATTTTTAAAACCTATCATGTATTTTTAGAAATGTATTTTTAGAAATGTGATCTCACTCTTCAATCTTCTGATTTGATCTAGTAAACATGCACATACATTACATTATTGTAGGGTTTCTTAACTTGTTACTTATTATTTTTAGAAGTTTATTTTGGCTGACAAAAATAAATTACTGATGTGTAGGCCTATGTCTAGACCTTGTTTTCTGAAACCAAGGTATTTAATGGTTAACAATGAAATGTATACAATTTTCTTGGCCAAAACTAATATAAATTATTCTTACAACCTATTGAACAGCTGAGTTTGGAATCCTTTAAGTCTTTAAATAAATGTCTGCATTTAATATGGTCCTTTAATGGAATCATTTAAGTCTTTAAATAAATGTCTGCATTTAATACGGTCCTTTAATGGAATCATTTAAGTCTTTAAATAAATGTCTGCATTTAATACGGTCCTTTAATGGAATCATTTAAGTCTTTAAATAAATGTCTGCATTTAATATGGTCCTTTAATGGAATCATTTAAGTCTTTAAATAAATGTCTGCATTTAATATGGTCCTTTAATGGAATCATTTAAGTCTTTAAATAAATGTCTGCATTTAATATGGTCCTTTAATGGAATCATTTAAGTCTTTAAATAAATGTCTGCATTTAATATGGTCCTTTAATGGAATCATTTAAGTCTTTAAATAAATGTCTGCATTTAATATGGTCCTTTAATGGAATCATTTAAGTCTTTAAATAAATGTCTGCATTTAATATGGTCCTTTAATGGAATCATTTAAGTCTTTAAATAAATGTCTGCATTTAATATGGTCCTTTAATGGAATCATTTAAGTCTTTAAATAAATGTCTGCATTTAATATGGTCCTTTAATGGAATCATTTAAGTCTTTAAATAAATGTCTGCATTTAATATGGTCCTTTAATGGAATCATTTAAGTCTTTAAATAAATGTCTGCATTTAATATGGTCCTTTAATGGAATCATTTAAGTCTTTAAATAAATGTCTGCATTTAATATGGTCCTTTAATGGAATCATTTAAGTCTTTAAATAAATGTCTGCATTTAATATGGTCCTTTAATGGAATCATTTAAGTCTTTAAATAAATGTCTGCATTTAATATGGTCCTTTAATGGAATCATTTAAGTCTTTAAATAAATGTCTGCATTTAATATGGTCCTTTAATGGAATCATTTAAGTCTTTAAATAAATGTCTGCATTTAATACGGTCCTTTAATGGAATCATTTAAGTCTTTAAATAAATGTCTGCATTTAATACGGTCCTTTAATGGAATCATTTAAGTCTTTAAATAAATGTCTGCATTTAATATGGTCCTTTAATGGAATCATTTAAGTCTTTAAATAAATGTCTGCATTTAATATGGTCCTTTAATGGAATCATTTAAGTCTTTAAATAAATGTCTGCATTTAATATGGTCCTTTAATGGAATCATTTAAGTCTTTAAATAAATGTCTGCATTTAATATGGTCCTTTAATGGAATCATTTAAGTCTTTAAATAAATGTCTGCATTTAATATGGTCCTGTAATGGAATCATTTAAGTCTTTAAATAAATGTCTGCATTTAATATGGTCCTGTAATGGAATCATTTAAGTCTTTAAATAAATGTCTGCATTTAATATGGTCCTTTGTGCTGACTAAAATTGATGGCCTTCGTTATTTTAAATGTGTCGGATTTTTAGCTATTTAGCTATTTCTTTGCTTTGTCAGTAATATCATTCAACGCATAGTAAAGCACAAAGCTTTTTTGACCAATATCTAGTTTATAAATTATTTTTCCAAACAAGTATAATATAAAAAATACATAGGCCAATAATTCATGTCAAATGGGTACCCATGACTAGAAATTCATAAAGCACAAAGACATCTATACACACCTAACCCTAACCCATGACTAGAAATTCATAAAGCACAAAGACATCTATACACCTAACCCTAACCCATGACTAGAAATTCATAAAGCACAAAGACATCTATACACACTATGATTTTTTTTATATCTAAACAGGCTAGCTGATCTACTAATACCCCTATCTAAACAGACTAGCTGATCTACTAATACCCCTATCTAAACAGGCTAGCTGATCTACTAATACCCCTATCTAGCTGATCTACTAATACCCCTATCTAGCTGATCTACTAATACCCCTATCTAAACAGGCTAGCTAATCTACTAATACCCCTATCTAAACAGACTAGCTGATCTACTAATACCCCTATCTAAACCTCTACCAATAGACCACCACCTTACTGCCAGTAATAGACCAATAGACCACCCCCTTAATGCCAGTAATAGACCAATAGACCACCCCCTTAATGCCAGTAATAGACCAATAGACCACCCCCTTAATGCCAGTAATAGACCAATAGACCACCCCCTTAATGCCAGTAATAGACCACCCCCTTAATGCCAGTAATAGACCAATAGACCACCCCCTTAATGCCAGTAATAGACCAATAGACCACCCCCTTAATGCCAGTAATAGACCAATAGACCACCCCCTTAATGCCAGTAATAGACCACCCCCTTAATGCCAGTAATAGACCAATAGACCACCCCCTTAATGCCAGTAATAGACCAATAGACCACCCCCTTAATGCCAGTAATAGACCAATAGACCACCCCCTTAATGCCAGTAATAGACCAATAGACCACCCCCTTAATGCCAGTAATAGACCACCCCCTTAATGCCAGTAATAGACCAATAGACCACCCCCTTAATGCCAGTAATAGACCACCCCCTTAATGCCAGTAATAGACCAATAGACCACCCCCTTAATGCCAGTAATAGACCAATAGACCACCCCCTTAATGCCAGTAATAGACCACCCCCTTACTGCCAGTAATAGACCAATAGACCACCCCCTTAATGCCAGTAATAGACCAATAGACCACCCCCTTAATGCCAGTAATAGACCAATAGACCACCCCCTTAATGCCAGTAATAGACCAATAGACCACCCCCTTAATGCCAGTAATAGACCAATAGACTACCCCCTTAATGCCAGTAATAGACCAATAGACCACCCCCTTAATGCCAGTAATAGACCACCCCCTTAATGCCAGTAATAGACCACCCCCTTAATGCCAGTAATAGACCAATAGACCACCCCCTTAATGCCAGTAATAGACCACCCCCTTAATGCCAGTAATAGACCAATAGACCACCCCCTTAATGCCAGTAATAGACCAATAGACCACCCCCTTAATGCCAGTAATAGACCAATAGACCACCCCCTTAATGCCAGTAATAGACCACCCCCTTAATGCCAGTAATAGACCACCCCCTTAATGCCAGTAATAGACCACCCCCTTAATGCCAGTAATAGACCAATAGACCACCCCCTTAATGCCAGTAATAGACCAATAGACCACCCCCTTAATGCCAGTAATAGACCACCCCCTTAATGCCAGTAATAGACCACCCCCTTAATGCCAGTAATAGACCACCCCCTTAATGCCAGTAATAGACCAATAGACCACCCCCTTAATGCCAGTAATAGACCAATAGACCACCCCCTTAATGCCAGTAATAGACCAATAGACCACCACCTTACTGCCAGTAATAGACCAATAGACCACCCCCTTAATGCCAGTAATAGACCAATAGACCACCCCCTTAATGCCAGTAATAGACCAATAGACCACCACCTTAATGCCAGTAATAGACCAATAGACCACCCCCTTAATGCCAGTAATAGACCAATAGACCACCACCTTACTGCCAGTAATAGACCAATAGACCACCCCCTTAATGCCAGTAATAGACCAATAGACCACCCCCTTAATGCCAGTAATAGACCAATAGACCACCCCCTTAATGCCAGTAATAGACCAATAGACCACCCCCTTAATGCCAGTAATAGACCAATAGACCACCCCCTTAATGCCAGTAATAGACCAATAGACCACCCCCTTAATGCCAGTAATAGACCAATAGACCACCCCCTTAATGCCAGTAATAGACCAATAGACCACCCCCTTAATGCCAGTAATAGACCAATAGACCACCCCCTTAATGCCAGTAATAGACCAATAGACCACCCCCTTAATGCCAGTAATAGACCAATAGACCACCCCCTTAATGCCAGTAATAGACCAATAGACCACCCCCTTAATGCCAGTAATAGACCACCCCCTTACTGCCAGTAATAGACCAATAGACCACCCCCTTAATGCCAGTAATAGACCAATAGACCACCCCCTTACTGCCAGTAATAGACCACCCCCTTACTGCCAGTAATAGACCAATAGACCACCCCCTTAATGCCAGTAATAGACCACCCCCTTAATGCCAGTAATAGACCACCCCCTTAATGCCAGTAATAGACCAATAGACCACCCCCTTAATGCCAGTAATAGACCAATAGACCACCCCCTTAATGCCAGTAATAGACCAATAGACCACCCCCTTAATGCCAGTAATAGACCAATAGACCACCCCCTTAATGCCAGTAATAGACCACCCCCTTAATGCCAGTAATAGACCAATAGACCACCCCCTTAATGCCAGTAATAGACCAATAGACCACCCCCTTACTGCCAGTAATAGACCAATAGACCACCCCCTTACTGCCAGTAATAGACCAATAGACCACCCCCTTAATGCCAGTAATAGACCAATAGACCACCCCCTTAATGCCAGTAATAGACCAATAGACCACCCCCTTAATGCCAGTAATAGACCAATAGACCACCCCCTTAATGCCAGTAATAGACCAATAGACCACCCCCTTACTGCCAGTAATAGACCAATAGACCACCCCCTTAATGCCAGTAATAGACCAATAGACCACCCCCTTAATGCCAGTAATAGACCAATAGACCACCCCCTTAATGCCAGTAATAGACCACCCC